ACCCTGCAGGCTGAGCCCCCAGGGGCCAGGCACTCCACACCCTGCAGGCTGAGCCCCCAGGGGCCAGGCACTCCACACCCTGCAGGCTGAGCCCCTAGGGGCCCGTGACAGAGGAGTTTGCTGATGGGCCCACAAGACCAACGTGCTCATTCCAGGTCAACCACACTCTGGGTGGAAGCAGCTGGGGCGTCCTCACCGTCAGCCCCTCCTCTTGCCCCGCCGCTCCCACCAACACACATTGCCTTTGCCTCCAGCACCTCTCAGCTTCCCTTTCACTGGGATCACCAGGTCAGTTTAAAACAATGATGAGCCTGGTTAAAATTCTGCCCAAATGCCCCTGGCAACAGAGTCAAGATATTCAGTTGAAGTTAGGAGGCCAGTAGCTGTTGATTTGAACAATTAACAGGACTTCAGTGTCCTGGGTGTGGGCTTCGGGCTGGAGGTAGGGCAGGTGTGCCCTCTCCAAGTCAAATCCCTGCAGGGCCCAATGCAACAGGACCTGACCCTTTCCCCCAAAGCTCCCTCCAGAGCATCCTGCCCGCAGCACCAGCAGCAGCAAGGTGGCAGTTGTGGAATAGAAGCCAAAGGAAGGATGACGGAGGGCACGTCCCCAGCAGAGCTGTGGGGGATGCCTGCCCGGGGCGCGTCACAGACACTCACAGAGCCAGGCGGCTGGCGCGCTCGGGCACGCTGCACGGAAGCTGAGGACGAGCTACGCCTCACTGCGTGTCACTCTAAGTGAGTGCCTCACTGTGTGTCACTCTAAGTGATGCCTGTATCTGTTTCCCTTTTATCTTTCTATCTTGGATATGTGTGGCCCAATAAAAAGAATAAATTTGTAAGATAAACAGCTTTCTTTGCAGATGTAAGAGTCTAATTTTCACTTTACACAGAAATGGCTTTTTTTGGAGAGCCCCAAGGCCGATGGCGTTTACTCGTAGACTAATCCTGCTGGGAAAACAAACTCTGAGCAAGAGGAAGGGCAGTTGTGGGTGGTCCCGGGAAGTGTCCAGAGAGGCAGTAAAGCCTGGTGAAGCAAAGGCTGGGGACGGTGTGGCCTAGCCGCACACTCAAAGGGTCCAAGCCTGCACCTGGTAGGTGGTGGCAAAGCCCCACGAGCTGAATTCAGCCTGGCCCCACCAGGAACCCAGGAGTCTCATTCGGAGGGAAAGAGGTGGCCCCTCACTGATGCTTCTGCAGCCAGAGAATGAAAGCACTTGTACCACCCGCCCCTGCGAACTACAGGACTGAGTCCTTCATCACTTCGCCTGGAACCCCACCCTGTCAGCCACGTGGAGGTCAGTGACTGGTCCCAGCTGCAGAGAGGCCAGCTCTTCCCCGGCCACTCCAGGAAGCAGGTGGCAGAAAGAGAGACACAGTACACAAAAACCGCACCTGCGATCCTTGGTCAGACTGCTCGTTGATTGGTTTGAACTTTTTTTATTATTATTATTTTCACCTCTCTTTTCTCCCCATCTTGCAATATTCCCCCCTCCTCTTAGACTGCTTCTCTGTGTGCTGGGCACGCTGACAGTGGGAGGGGGCACACCGGTCAGCTCCAGGTCTTCCTTCTGCTCCTCCTTGCTCATCTGAGAAAGCAGCTTCTGAATCAGTGGTTCTCAATCTTCCTAAAGCCACGACCCTTAATACGGATCATGTCATCACTCTGGATACTGGTATGTGGGTACCCAGTATCTGCATGTGGACAGACCCACCTGGAGACAGATAGAGGGTCAGTGTCTCTGCTCCCAAGGCCATCGGAAATATGTTTTCTGATCCCCAACGGAGTCACGACCAATAGGTTGAGAACTGCTGTTCTAGATGGCGAACTGGCCCTGGGAGCAGGGCATTGGCCAACAGCTGGTCAGCCGTCTTCTTGCAGCTGCCAAGTGATAGAGAAATAGCTAAGGAACAGCTCCATGACCCCTGCTTATTTTCTTGACCCCACCAAATAACATGGGATCCCATGTTCAGAGGGGATGTTCGGTATAGATGCAATAACCACTGTCAGGAGGGACACAGGCTGCGTGTGCGACCCTCCCAGAGTTTCAGCCAAGAGCAAGTGACTTGAACTAGGTGTCCAACAGCTTTGCCAGCTTCCCCTGGGCCTACAAGCTGAAAGCAATTTGCTAAAAGAGAGAGGAGAGGGAGCCAAGTCATTGCAAGAACGTGTTTGGGGGGTAAGGAGACATCAGACAATAGGCCTTTCTGATTTCGTCTCATCAGAGTCAGTCTCCTGTTTTCTATGTTCCCAATTACTTGGTCGAATCCTCCAAGTGTGTGGCGATATTTGCCTGGACGAAGGCGACATTAAGGTACATACAGTCCCCAAGTATTTGCAGGGATGGTGGCAGGGAGGGCCCATAGCTGTGGAGGCCCATAGCTGTGGAGGCCCAATGGTGAAGGAGGAGCTGGAGGACATTGAAAATGGCCCCGGAGCATCTTAGAATTGAAGCATCTTAGAATCCTCATCATCCACTAAAGCACCAACTGGAAGCACCACACAGACAGAGAAACAGGTGCTTAGAGAGACAGACAGCTTTCCGTAAGTTAAAGCCTAGACACACATCGCGCACTTTGAGAAGCTGCCTGGAACCATTCCCGAGACTGGCTATCTGGTCATACACAAACACAATCTGAATTATGGGTGCCTCATTACACGCTAACCTTATGCATATGTGATATCACTGGAATTTAAAAAACTGGTTTATGAAACGCTTTTCTACTTTTGAGGGTAGATTTTTCTTCCAGGCTATCTTTAAACACTGAGTTTCCTTGGTATTATATTT